ACAAAGCAACCCTGTAAGTTACTAACACATGGTAAGTACCTAAGTAAACACAGAGAAGGCGGAAATCTACCTATAAGGAACAGAGTAACAGGATACCCCTCACATCTTATAGTATCTACTAAAATCTGTTCTGTTTGGTCTAAAGTTACCTGATCACGATCCAGCATGCTTCTTGCCACAAATCTGGAGTGATTTCATCATCATCCTCATCATATTGCATATCTGCAAAAACAAAACACTCTGCTCACTGGCAATAAGATACCACTAGCTCACACCTTACCCCCTCGCACTCTGCTAAATAAAAGGCAGCCATTTCATCCCACTTTCCTAGAGTTTCAGACAACTAGTGACATATGCCTATGTCACATTAATATTCGTCCTATACACTGTCTTTACAACAAAGGTTCAGTTATGTTGTGAGTCTGTGATTTCTGTCTGCTCCAGAAAATCCACATACTAAGAGCTAAGCAGGAGCATCGCAGTCCTCTGACTGGTAAGACCTCAGAGACTGCAGGCAAGGACAAAGAGACAGGAAAGAATTTCAATGACTGAGCAACACCCTTAGGTGGTCGATTAACATTTCATAAATGTACAATCTACGTATGTGTATATGCAGACATGTTTTCTTCTTTGAGACAGGGTCTCATTATGTAGCCTAGCTAGTCTGGAATTCACTATTTAAAACTGAATGGCCTTAAACTTAGAGATCTTTCTGCCTCTGCCTCCCAAGTCCTGCCTGTACAGACTATATTTCCCATCCCTCGTGCTCTTCTATGTGATCGAGACACTCGTACCACTAAGGTAAGGAATCAGTGAGGCATGCTGGTGCACAGCTGTAATTCCGGCACTCAGGAAGCAAATCACCATAAATTCCAGGCTAACCTGAGCTATATCATGAGATCCTGTTTCAAAAAGAAACAATAATACAAGGCTCTATACATCCTCTCCTTGAATTTAGGTAATTTTCAACTCTCCAGTAAATAAGGAATGCTGTTAGAATGAGATCATATGGTTTTATGATGTAGTCAGAAAATGCAATGTAGTTCTGACCTGTTTGCTCTGAAGCCCTGAACTGTTGCTAAAAACTCCTAATACTCTCCCAACAAATCTCATAACCTTTGTGTGTTTGTTTGTTTTATGAGGTGCTGGGAATTAAATCTAGGTCTCACATATGCTAGGCAAGTGCTCTACTACTAAACTATATCCCAGCCCTCCATAAACATTTGTTTTTAATTATGGGTGTGTGCATGCATATGCGTGCAGGTGTCTATGGAGGCCAAAATGAGCATCAGATACCCTTGGGCTGGAGTTACAAGGAACTGTCAGTTGCCTAATATGTGTGCTGAAAACCCAATCTGGGTCCTCTAGACTCAAGTAGCAAGCACTCTTAACCGCTAAACCATCTCTCCAACCACCATGAAAACTTTTCTAGGTAACGAAATTTTAGACCTCTCCCTATATGTAAGGATTAGTAATTAGTATTGTACAGCAACACTAATTTTTAAAAATGTATCCTTAAAAATTTAGCCCCATCTCCTATGATAGAATGTTCATTGTACTCTTATTTTTTTTAGTCTGAACTATACAATTAGCCTATAAAACTTAAGAGCTTTCTATTCAGAAATCTGATGTACATTCAAAGTAGTTTCAATATATGCTTCTGGAATGTTTTAGAATGACATGGAAAAGACAATGGTATGTAAATCAGTAGTGGTTTCTAGTTTTGTAAATAAGTATTTAATATCACTGCATGTAGAAGTAAATTCAAAGAAGGAAAAAAGGGGGAAATGATAAGGGTGGCCCTACATATTTATATTTAACTCTTTAGGTACTTTTAAAAGGAACATGATATTCAAAAAAACTTCCATACTGGACTGGAGATGTAGCCCAGTGCTAGTGTTGCACAGCATGGACTAGTGTTGCACAGCTTGGACAAGGCCCTGCAATGAATCCCAGATACCATGGGGAAAAGTTTAGTACTACATGGAAAGTTGGAGTCATCAGCAAATTAGTAAAAAATAAGATATAAGGAAAGTATATGCAGAGAAAGAAGATCAAAGTCAAGATAAGATATTAAGGGACATCTCTGTTTAAGAGTCATGTAAAGCTGTGTGTGGTAGCATACGCCTTTAGTTTCAGCACTTGAGAGACTGAAGCAGACAGATAGATGTCTGGGAGCTGGATACCAGCCCAGCCTTCATAGCATGCTACAGGCCAACTAAGAGTACATAGTAAAAAGCTGTCACAAGAAAGAAAGAAAAAAATATCATGTAAAGGCAAACAGGAAAATGAATTCAAGAAGAGCATTCATTCATTCATCGAACATTTATTGACTATGAGTATTGACTATGGCCCAGGCACTAGAAGTCTTCATCCTTCCCAAGGTAAAGGTGGTTGCACTATTACAGAGATTATCACCTATTGGGGAGATACAAAGAAGTTGAAATTAACAAACACAGAGTAATATGGCCATTCCTGACCAGGTCCCCAAGAGGATAAATCTTCCCAAAAACTGAAAACAGAAGTAAACCCAGGCAAAAATGAGTCAGTGTGTACGGGAGGAGTGAAGAAAGATGGTTCCTGTCCAAAAGACATCATAATGAAGATAGCATAGTATAATAGAATCAGGAAAAGGAAAGGCAATGTAGGGCACTGGGGAGATAGCTCAAATGACAAAGTGCTTTACTGTGCACGCATGAAGACTGAGTTCAGAGCTCCAGGACCCATGTAAAAAGCCAGGCACACACCTGTAACGACAGCACGAGGAAGGCTGAGACGAGACAGAGACACACACATATAGGCAAGCAGGTGCAACACATTTTTTGAGACACACTCTCAATAGTATCAGATAATTTCCTGTGTGTGTGTGTAAGTAAAAGAAAAATGGATATAAAGTGAGTTGAGTGAACAGAAGAGTTTAGGGAGCCTAAGAGATAACCCAGTTATCTAGTAGGAGATAGATATGCAGGACAACTAAATTGGAAATACAGCAGGGCATGCTAGCTCAGGCCTATAATCCCAGCACATGGGAGACTGAGGTAAGAGAATTGCCAGTAGTTCAATGCCAGCCTATGTATGGCACATAGTCAAGACGATGTCTAAATAAAAATTTGCCTGGGCAGTGGTGGCACACGCCTTTAATCCCAGCACTTGGGAGGCAGAGGTAGGCAGATCTCTGAGAGTTCGAAGCCAGCCAGGTCTACAGATCGAGTTCCAGGACAGATAGGGCAGAGAAACCCTGTGTCAAAAAACCAAAAAAAGAAAAAAGAAAAAAGAAACAAAAATGTATTCAAGTCATGCAGTAAACGCAAGCATGGAGAATGGACTAGACACCCAGGGAGAATGTGAACAGTAATAAGTAAAAGGAAAGGCAGCACGCAAGTGAAGTGATGAGCAGAACGCATGAGCAGTTTTCGGGGGAAGTCGTGAACAACTCTGAGTAGCACAGAAGCAGGTGAGAGCTGGGTGGGTGGGTGATGTTTTGTCTGGCTGGCTGGTTTGTGGTCTCCAATTTAAAGATAATCCTCCACATTTGGCTTTCTGTGAGCAATAACAACTGATCTAAATAAGACTTGAAGCATCTGTCTAATTTATCAAGCAAGAAATCACAGACCACCCAGAAAAAGCTGTTTTAACATAGGAGCATCAGCAAAATCAGATATAATGGCTCACAGAGGTGGAAACTGGAAACATTCTTAGGGCTGGTGAAATGCTCAATGGGTAAAGACGACTGCTACATAGCTGAGGACCTGAGTTCAAAGCCCAGCATCTACAGGGAATGCTCCATGTGTGCATCCTCACACATACAAACAAAATAATTTTCTACATTTCCTTCAAGTAAGAGTAATTTAAAAGAATATAATGACTCTAGTAGATTCCCATGAGATATGAATACAACTGAGACGTTTAAGAAATTTTAAAAGTTGAAGCTTTGCCGGGTGTTGGTGGAGCACGCCTTTAATCCCAGCACTCCGGAGGCAAAGGCAGGCGGATCTCTGGGAGTTCGAGGCCGGGCTGGACCGACAGCCTCCAAAACAATACAGAGAAACCCTGTCTCGTAAAAAAAAAAAAAAAAAAAAAAAAGTGTGCCCATGAAAAGTGAAAAGAAACGTCCTTGTGAAATGGAATACATACCATCCAAGCAAGGACTGTGTCATCTCATGGTAAGAGACCACTTAAAGGCCATCTTTTAAGGCATTCACTTAAATTGACAGTGTGAAGGAATGTCAACCCAGAACCCTTTGTTTGTACTTAATACTTCCAGGGTATAACAGTATCTTGCACACAAGGACGTGGTCGAAAAATGGAGCTACCTGGGACCAGAAATACGGCCCAGGAGTAGAGTACTTGCAGGCCCTGAGTCCAGTCCTCTGTGTCGTAAGAAAAAAAAAAAAAAAGAACAAAAATACCTAGCTATTCAACAGTCGACTTGGGTGCAAAGGGAACCAATCAACGTCAAAACACCCGAATGTTAATAAGCACTAGCACACCGTCGTTTCTGGAAGGCGATAGCAGGTTTAACGGGAGGCCACGCAGGCAGCAGCCAAGCTGACCCGGGGACGTGAACCCTCGGTTTCCCGAGCCTACACAGCCAGCAAGCCCAGCGCGCGAGAACCCGGCTGCGGGGCGCGCGCCCCACGGCTGGGATGGGGTCCCTTGCGGGTTCCCCCGCCGCACCGCCTGAGAGGCTACCGCGAGGCGTGTCTGACGTGGTCACCTACCCTCGTCGGCGTCATACATCTTGGCCAAAGGTTTGTGGACCTCTTAAGTAGAATTCACAAAGCCAGAGACGAAAACTGCAGCGGCAAACTCGGGAGAGTAAGAACCAGCAATTTCCGTCTCCGGCGTTCCCAGAATCCTCGGCGCCTTAGAGGGGCGGAGTGGGGAGGGGCGTGTGAGAGTTGCGCCTGCGCGAGCAGCAGGCAGCGCCGGGCGAGGACTTGAACTGCGCAAGTGCGAATTGTGGGTTGCTTGGCTGCCGCTGAGGACAGCTCCTTGGGCCGGAAGTTGGATCCAGTTAACCAAAGTTTCTTGCCGCGTGTTTTTTTGTGTGTGTGTTGTTGCACAAATGACACTTGATTGGCGTACAGGGCACTAGTGAAAGAAAAGCTCTGGGTGTAGGCAGGGCACCGACGACCCTCTCCTGCCCACCCAGCTCTCGTCGGCGCCTTGGCACAGCTGGGTGAATTATCGGGGTCTCGGAGCTTTCATCGCGAGAACTCTAGGATCGGTCACGCCGTTGGACAGTTCCCTCGCCCTGCTAGACGAGCTTCTCGGACGCGCGCACTGGTGCGCGCCCGAGGCTCCGCCCACCTCCCCGGCCGCCCGCATGCAGCCCGCGCGCCATGCTTGCCGGCTGCTGCGCGGGTTCCTGCGGGGCCCGGCGCCTGCCGCTGCGTGCCATGGCCCTGCCCGGTGGCTCCCGGCGGGCAAGTGTGAAGCCGCTTTCTCCCAGAGCCCATCGTCCCTGGGCCGCCGACTGCCTCCTGGCTCCACGGCGACCGAGGACTACGAAGAAGGCCCCGACACCGAGGAGCGCTTTCTGTTCCCGGAGTACGTCGCGGAGCCGGACCCTGAGGACCAGCTGAGAGAGTTGCGCGAGTTGCAGCGGCGGCAGCAGGATGAGGAGCGCCAGATGTTGCAGCGGCAGGAGGAGCGGCTTCAGCGGAAGCTGCGGGCTGGCCTCCGGACTCTGCAGGTCCCCGACCTTCCAGAAGCCGCGGTGCCACCCAGCGGCATCTACTGCTCGGGCTGCGGGGCCGAGCTGCACTGCCAGCACCCCAGCCTGCCCGGCTACCTAACGGAGGAGAAATTCCACGGTGTGACCCAGACGGACGGCGGACAGGCGCGGACCGTGTGCCAGCGCTGCTGGCTGCTGGTGCACCACCGACGTGCCCTGCGCCTGCGGGTGAGTCGCGAGCAGTACCTGGAGCTAGTGAGCGCCGCGCTGCGGCGGCCGGGACCCGCCCTGGTGCTCTACATGGTGGACCTGCTCGACCTGCCGGACGCCTTGCTGCCCGACCTGCCCAAGCTGGTGGGCCCCAAGCAGGTCTTCGTGCTGGGGAACAAAGTGGACCTGCTACCCCAGGACGCGCCCGGCTACTTGCAGCGGCTGCGGAAGCGGCTGTGGGACGACTGCATCCGCGCCGGCCTCGTGGTGGCCCCTGGCCACCGAGGACCGCAGTACCCCGCCGGGCATGAGCCCCAGGACGAGAAAAAGAATCCGAACCCGCCGACCAGGTCCAGCACCGTGATCAAGGACGTGCGGTTGATCAGCGCCAAGACCGGCTATGGAGTTGAAGATCTGATCTCCGCGCTTCAACGCTCCTGGCGCTACCGCGGCGACGTCTACCTGGTGGGCACCACGAACGCTGGCAAGTCCACTCTCTTTAACACACTCCTGGAGTCTGACTACTGCACCGCCAAGGGCTCCGAAGCCATCGACAGGGCTACCATCTCCCCGTGGCCAGGTGAGGTCCGGCTGTTGAGAAATTAGGCTTGACCCAGGCACCTAGTACTACATCTACCTAATTGTCCACCTTGAGCTGCCCGGGGCTCTCCCTTTAAATGTTTTCTCCCCACTTTGCTCATACCTCTTGTGACAGTTTAGTGCTTAGAAATTCGATACGATTGATTTTCTAATAGGAATGTTTCGGGGGGGGGGGGGCTGGGGATAAAGCTTGGTTGCTAAAGTGCTTGGCTAGCGTGCCAGAAGCCTGAGTTAGTTTGCAGTACCGCATAAACGAGGTGTGGTGGCAAGCTCCTGTTTCCCCAGCTCTTGGGAGGTGGAGACCGGTGGGACGGGCAGACAGACACCAAAGCGATTCTTGGCCACATAGCTGGAGGCTGTTGTGAGGTAGATCCATGAGCCCTCGTCTATTTAAAAGAAAAAAAAAAGCATCTGTGTTCTTTTTACTCCAAGACCCTTTTTCTTCACCTATTTATTTATTCTTGGACTGTTAGACTAGACATGTGAAAGAGATGATGTGGTATGGTGTGGAAATTTCTCGAGAAGAAATGTCAATGTTCTGAGTTAAAGAAGCAAATAGATGGGACTGGAGAGATGGCTCAGAGGTTAACAGCCTTGGCTGCTCTTCCAGAGGTCCTGAGTTCAATTCCCAGCAGCCACATGGTGGCTCACAACCATCCCCGTAATGAGATCTGGTGCTCCCTTCTCATGTGTAGACATATATGCAAGCAGAACACTGTATACATGCTAAATAAACCAATCTTAGGTAAAAGAGACAAGTAGTTTGGCATGGTGTTACTGTCTGTCATCTCAACACTGGGCAGGAGAGCCTAAGGATGCATTCTTTTCAAGAGCCTCTCTGAAGAAAGAAGCCATGTACATGGAGAATTACAGTCTTAGGAGTTAGTTTGACAGAAATGCGTCCCCCTGAAAGCAAAGTTTAACGTCTGTTAACTGCCCTTTGGCCTTTCGTACTTAAAACTGCCTATGGCCACACCACTCTAGATGGACTAGAGGATAAACAGTGAAAAAGCGGGGAAAACGGACCTTCCGAATTTGTAACCAGATTCGGAGTTAGCCAGGCACTAGGACTCTTTCCTCGTTTGTACAGTGGAAATAATTACACAGTGGTTGTCATGAAGGTTAATGAAATCAGAAACGTTTGCTTTTCTTCTCTCACTCTCTTTTTTGAAAAACTTACTCTTGGTATTTCAGGTACTACATTAAACCTCTTGAAGTTTCCTATTTGCAACCCGACTCCTTACAGAATGTTCAGAAGACATAAAAGGCTTAAAGAAGAGGCAACCAAAGCGGAAAAAGATCTTAGTGAGGAAGAACAAAGCCAGCTCAGTCAACTGAAAAGACGTGCTTACATGATAGGTATGCATCTTCCAACTTAGGAAAAGTCTTACGGGTTCCATGATACAGTTGTTGAGTATTGTGCAGTGCAGCCATGGGAGGTATGATTTTTTGCAGAAGAGACTTCCTTCCCTTTTTGTAGGAAAGGTTACTGTTGCTTGGAAACCCAAACTAGCAGAGGCAGTAAAGGTCTTTAGCTAGGTTGTCCATCTCCTTTATCTCTCTCTTCTGAGTTCACTAAGATTTCTAGCACGACTTGACTGAAGGTAGGTATCCTGCAACACAACTGACCATGCCGGAGAAAAAGAAGACAAAAGTATCGTCATAGCCACAGTTTCATATTTGTACATGTGATTTTAGTGACTTATTTAAAGCAATCATAAAAGGTGTCTTCGGGGCCTTGCCTAGTGGTGCACACCTTTAGTCCCAGCACTTGGGAGGCAGAGGCAAGTGGATCTCTGAGTTCAAGGCCATTCTCAGCTCATAGAGAGTTCCAGGACAGCCAGGGCTACATAATCAGACCCTGTCCCTGAGGTAGGGAAGTCTTCGGGAGTGTCAAGTACATACCCATAATCCCAACACTTGGGAGATTTCAAAAACCTCAGTTCCATGTGATTTTGAGGCAAGACTGAACTACATGAGATCTTTGCCAAAATACAACAACCAAGGTAAATACATATATGGATATGTGCATATATACACGTGCACAAGAGAGGCAGAGAGATCTGTCGTCTATGGCTATAGAAGCTGAGGAGGGAAAAATCACAAGCTTAACTCCATCCTGAACTGTGTACAGAGAACCCATCTCAAAATGTTTCATGTGCCCCAGAATCAAAGCATCAGAGCGATGTCTGAGAACCTCGGTTTAATTTGTTCTAGGAAGAGTTGGAAGAACATTCTCGTACTCCAAAGAACAGACAGAAGTTCCCTTTGAGTTTGATGCCGACTCATTGGCCTTTGACATGGGAAATGAACCTGTTGTGGCCGTGCACCAGTGTACCAAACAAGTAGAACTGACCCCAGAGGATGTGAAAGATGCCCACTGGTTTTATGACACACCTGGGATTACAAAAGAAAATTGTGTATGTATTTGGTCTCTTTTAGAAATATTTACTTTTAATTGTAGATGTACTGTCTTAACTGGCCGAAAACAAGAAAAGAGGTGGGCTTCCATTTTAAAACTCGATTCTATTTCTTTATAAAAATAGTTGAAGGGCATACGCCTTTAATCCCAGCACTTGGGAGGCAGAGGCAGGCGGATCTCTGTGAGTTCAAGGCCAGCCTGGTCTGCAGAGCAAGTTCCAGGACAGCCTCTAAAACAATACAGAGAAACCCTGTTTTGAAAAACCAAAAAAAAAAAAAAAAGGTAGTTCAAGGATGAACTGTCAAATTCTGTATTCATTTAGTTGACACCTCTGTAGGCAAACAACAGACAGTATTAACAGTGTGGTTATTATCTTAGAGAGACATGTTATAGGTTCCTATACTTTAAGGTTAGAAATGATAAATATTACAATCCAGCTTCCTAGTCTGTGCTTGAATTCCCTTGAAAATATGTCATTCATCATGTCATATAGTTTGAGCTGGAGTGAGTCGTGACAACTTACAGAGCAGTGTCAGGTACACTCCCAGGGTATCTAGCTATTTTTTGTCTGCTCTTTGCGTTGCACTGAAAGTCTCCCAGTAACTTGTACCCATTGTTCTTCAAAGCTGTATGTATTTCCCTTGACACATCTTGAAATACCTTAAATTATAAGTAGTCAAGTGACCATATTTTTGAAATAGGGTTAATTCCACCTTTCCTGCCATTATCCATCCTTTTACTCAAATTACAGTGTCTCACAGGTAACTTAGCTGGTGTCTAATCAAGTTTAGCCTATATTTAGCTAAGCATTGTGGTGCACACACTTTGCTTAATATGATGCATTCCTGTTGCACCCATTTTCCTACAAAAAACATAACTTCATCCATTATGGCTATTCAAGCTTTCTTTGTATGTAAACCCATTTTCTTTATACATTCCTCTGTTGATAGACACCTAAGTTGGTTCCATAGCTTAGCTATTGTGAATTCGTTTTCTGAATGAATTTTGTCTTCCTTAAATCTTACCAGAATCTGGTAATCCCTGTCTTCCTTTTTCTGTTTTTCTTCGATCTCTCTGATCACTTTGGTCCTGTGGTTGGAGAGGTGTCTTGATGGTTAATAGTGCCTGCTTGTTGTTGGGCTTTAGACATTGTTGCTCTTCCAGAGGAGCCAAGTTCAATTCCCAGTTCTCACAACCTCCAGTAACTCCAGTTTCCAGGGATCTAATGCCCTCTTCTGGCCTCTGCAGGCACCCACGTACAGGCATACACAAATGTTTAAACAACAAAAGACCCTCTGGTCCTAACAAGCCAAGATGCACAACACTGATATTGGGACAAATGTTCAGGAGAAAGAGGATCTTCAATTTAAGAACCACTTTGTTTTTTGGTTTGGATAGAAGAAGAAGAGCATTTCTGTTTTTTGAGATGGGGGTCTTGGAAATACTACATAGTCTGGGTTAGCCTAGAACTTGTGGCAGTCCTGCCAGACCTGAGATTGCAGGTATGAACCATTTTGCATTTGATGTTTGCATGGTAAATACTTAGGACCTGAGGTTATAATATCCATTATTTAAGGCTGGAAGCTACTGCTCCCTGAATCCTTGAGCACACATTTCTATTCTTAGTGACCCAACAATATTTTGGGATGCACACCCATTTTGACATTTGGGCTATAGTGCTGTCATAGGAAAGTCTTGTACACCTATTGTGCTATTTTGCCAATTTTTAATACACAGCTGTGAAATGAGTAGAATAATAGTTAATTTAGAGATAATATGTAATTTTTATGTGTGACTAATGAACATAATTTGGTTTATTATAAAATCTAAACATTTTTTCGGTACTTAATTTTGTGAATAAATCACAAAATATATTGAATGAAAGTAGTCTTCTAAATAAGTCTTGTCTTTTGCTTTACAGATTTTAAATCTTCTAACAGAAAAAGAGGTGGATATTGTTTTGCCAACACATTCTATTGTACCAAGAACATTTGTTCTCAAACCAAGAATGGTTCTGTTTTTGGGGGCTATAGCCCGAATAGATTTTTTAGAGGTAAGGAAAATCTATGCTGTTGAAAAGTGACCAAGTATTAGGATGCACTTCAGGAACACATGAGGAGATTGACAAAACATTGACATAACTAAGCCCTGTGTGTTGCTTGTTTTGTTTTGTACATATACAAGTTTTTATAGGAAAAACTTGGGAGGAAGAAGTAGACAAAAAGAGAATACTGTGTTAAAAATCTGTAAAACTGGTGCCAGGGAAGACGGCTCATCAGTTAAGAGTGCTTGCTACTCTCAGGTTTACAGGAATTGTTAAAATATATTATTTCTGTGTTATACCCTCTCTTATGACATTAGTATAATTTTCTTACAGTTGAAAGAGGGCTTGATATGGTTCCCTTTTGTCCTCTTTTTGTTGTTGGTAATGATGATGATGTTTTGAGGCAAGGTCTCTTGAACCCCAGGTTGATCCTAAACCCAATGTTGTAGCTGAGGTTGTCTTTGAACTCCTAATCTTCCTGGCTCTACCTCCCATGCTGGGATTAGAGATGTGCACCATATACCCAGCTTTTATCTCTATTTTTTTAAGTTGTACATCATAATGTGTGGGATCCCAAGTTGTTTGTTCTGTTAAGTAACTGCTTCCTTTCTTTCCTAAGGGAGATCAATCAGCTTGGTTTACAGTTGTGGCTTCCAACTTCCTTCCTGTTCATATCACTTCCTTGGACAAGGCAGATGCTCTATATGAGAAGCACGCAGGCCACGAGTTACTGCTGGTAAGCAATGCAACTTGATGACGGCATAGCCTGTGTTGGATAAAACCATCAGCTGTATCAGCTAGCCCTTATCTCACCTCATTCTCCAGGCATCTAGTTAAAAAGCAAAAATGGACTCTACATGAAAAGGTGTGTTGGGTTGGTCTGAGCCAAGAAAAGCCACAGCAGTGTATTTTCCTCTATGGTGCACTGTTCAATGTGGTAGCCACTAGCCACATATAACTACATTTGATCACACCAGCCACTTTTCAAGTGCCCGATAGTCACATTACTACAGAAAGTTGTATTGGTAGGAAGACAGGGTGGGAAAAAGTCACAGGAGATGGGAGTCAAAGCACAGACCTTTAATCCCAGCATATGGGAGGCAGGTGGATCTCCATGAGTTTGAGACCAGCCTGATCCACATATTGAATTCCAAAAGAGAAAAGTTACAGGCTTTGTCACAGTTGAGAAGTACTGATGGCATCTAGTGTGTATAGGTCCCAAATGACGCTAAACCATCTTCCAACAATGAAGAAAAACTAAAATATCAGTAGTGATTGACAAGCACTGGACTGAGCAGAAAAGTTTTCCTACTTCATTCCTAATCCAGACACTTGTTCTTACAGGTTTTCCCTCTTTTCCTCTCCTTCTACCTCCTCCTTTAGACTGTAAATGTTTTGATTGTTCTCATCTTCATCTAGAAATTAAAATGTCCTGAATATTCCTTTTCTTTACTCTTGGCTCCTCCTGTCCCAGTGCTATAGCCCTGCTTAGCCCTTATCATCCCACTGAAGTTTACCAAGCCCAGTTGTCTGAAGTCTGTTTCCAGCTCACCTGAAGATAGGCCCTTGGAAACCATAACCTTCATCTCTTTATAGAGCTCCCATGTTCAGCAACTGAATGTTTAGAGAATTTTTTTCCTGTGCATTTTTATCCATCACATACTTATTAATGCCATATAAGGTGTTTTTTGAGATAACCAACCAAGTGGGCATGATGTTATAATCTAGTGTTGGAAGGCAAAGGCAGTAGGATTAGGAGTTTTAGGCCACCCTTGACTGACCAGCAAGTTTGAAAACAACATTGGATCCTATTTCCAACAAAAAGAAAAAAAAATAAAAAGTCTCATTCTGTAGCCCAGGCTGGCTTCAAACTCTTGATAATCTCCTTCCCTAGCCTCCCAAATGTAGGATTCCATCTTTGATCACCATGTCCAGCTACAATTAATGGGCTTGAGGGTTTCTTTAGTTTTTGTTTGTTTTGAGACAATTTCATTATATAGCCCTGACTGACCTAGTACTCAACTGTGTAGATGAGGCTGGCCTTGAACTCAGAGAGATCCACCTCCCTCTGCCTCCTGAGTGCTGGGATAAGAGTGTGAGCCACCATGCCCAACCCCAGTTAACAGGAAATTTAAGTTGAATTTACAAACATGTCTTTTACTTTATTGGAAGGTTCCAATGGGTGGAAAAGAACGAATGGCCGAGTTTCCTCCTCTTGTGGCTGAAGACATTACATTAAAAGGAGGTGGAGAGTCTGAAGCTGTAGCTGATATCAAGTTCTCGTCTGCCGGTAATGTATTCTTTTGTTGTTTGCTTTTCTTTTTGACTTGTTCCAGACAGGGTTTCTCTGGGTAGCCCTGGTTGTCCTGGAACTCGAGAGCTGTTTGCCTATGCCTCCCAAGTGCTGGGATTAAAGGTGTTCACTACCTCCACCTGGCTGGCTGGTAATGTACTCTTAACAGGCAGAGCATAGACCATATATGGTGGCACATGCCTATATCCCAACATTTGCAGGGTAGAAGCTGGCAATCAAAGCTTGTCTGTTCTGTGTGAGACTCTGGTCAGCAGAACTGCCTTTGACCCAATATCAGGTATAAAAATACAAGGCAAGGCTGGGTGTGGTGGCATATCGTGAACCCAGCATGTAAGAGGTTGGAGCAGAGGGACTAACTATAATAGCTCACATCTATAATCCCATCGCTCAGCTGAGGCAGAAGGGTTGCTCCAGGTGCAAGACCAGCCTGTGCTACAGAGTAAGTGATAAGAGAGCCTAACAAGCCTAACAGCTCTGTGGTTAAGAGCACTTGCTGCAGCTGGGTGTGGTGATGCAAGCCTTTAATCCTAGCACTAAGGAGGCAGATGCCGGTGGATTGAGACCAGCCTGGTCTAGAGTGAGTTCCAGAACACCCAGGGACTATACAGGAGAAAAAAATTAAACCATGTGGTGGTGGCACACACCTTTAATTCCAGCACTTGGGAGACAGAGACAGGGTTTGATTTGATTTCTTGTATGCTTTGATTTGATTTCTTCACTGAGATGATTGATAGCAGCATTTTATGTCCTCTTGAATGTCTTATAGGTTGGGTTGCAGTAACACCTTACTCTAATGGCACACTGCATCTCCGAGGTTACACGCCTGAAGGAACTGTTCTAACCGTCCAGCCCCCTGTCTTGCCATATATCGTTAATATCAAAGGACAACGCATCAAGAAAAGCGTGGCCTATAAAACCAAGAAGCCTTCATCAGTGATATACAATCTGGTGAAGAAAACTAAATAAGTGAGGCAGACCTGAATTCACACTGGAGAGTAACAATATTGAAATATGTTGAAATTTGTATTAAATAAGAAAATAATAAAGAGCCATGTGATGGTGGCGCACACCTTTAATCCCAGCACATGGGAAGCAGAGGCAGGAGGATCTTAAAACCAGACTGATCTACAAAGCGAGTTCCAGGGCAGCTAGGACTGCTATACAGAGAAACCCTGTCTCGAAAAACCTAATAAATAAAGATAAGTGAGGCAGACAGGATTCATACTGGATAGTAAGAATATTGAAATGTGTTGAAATTGTATTAAATATAAAAATAGTAAGCCTATCGTTTTTAGAGATCTTAAAAGTCAACTGTTTAAACTATTTATGAGGCTATGCTTATTAATAGTATATTGTTTATAAAAAAATTTTTTTTCTTGAGTATATACATATCTGTGGCCCAAGTATACATAAGAGGAGGCCTACTTCAAATTTTCATGACGACCGGGTTTCATTTCATTTTATTTGGAAAGGATAGTTGACAAAGCAACCTAGTAGTTGACATGAGCAAAACAATCTAACCCTCCAGAATACAGTGACTTCTTCCATGTAATTGTCACCCAAGGATCATCATCACTGTTTTCCAGACAGCCAACAAAAGCTACCTAAAGAGGGAAAGATTGCTTTAGCTCCTGGCCCCAGAAATTTCAATCCAGAGTTGGAACTAACAGGACATGATGGCAGAGGACAGCCATTCACATCTGGCGGACCAGGAAGTACAGTACCAGAACCAGGAGCTTGGCTGTAACCTTCAAAGTTCATAGTAACCCACTTCGGCCAGCTAGGCTTTCTCAAGTTCCACAGCCTCCCACAGTAGCACCATAAACTGGGGAATACAAGTTCAAAATGAGCCTGGTGGTGGTGGTGGTGCTGCTGCTGCACACCTTTAATCCCAGCACTCAGGAGGCAGAGGCAGGTGGATCTCTGTGAGTTCAAGACCAGCCTGGTCTACAGAGCGAGTGCCAGAACAGCTAAGGCCACACAGAGAAACCCAGTCTTTAAAAAAAATGTGTCTGCCAGAGGACCCGGGTTTAATTCCCAGCACCCACATCACCCACATCGTAGCTCACAGCTGTAACTCCAGTTCCAGGGGACCTGATACCCATGGCAAGACACCATGCACATTAAAAAAAAAAAAAAAAAAGTATAAGGTTCCAAATGAGGGACTGGAAAAATGACTCGGCTATTAAGAGTACTCACTGCTCTTACAGAAGACCCAGGTTCAATTCTCTGCACCCACAAGGCAGCTCACAACTATCTGTAACCCCACTTCCAGGGGACCCGCCTGGTCCTACAGTTTGGTCTAAGAAACTGGGCATGAAGAAAGAATGGACAGACTGATGTACAGAAGAGCTGTTACCAGGTGGGCTGTGTTGGCTGTGATGGAGCAGTACCAACAACACAATCTGACTTTCAAGGGGTTTTATTATATACAGCAATCGGAGGAGGGGTTAGTCTCCATAGGAGGTCTCTGGAGGAGGAAGCTGCAGGGGCTAATGTCCTTGCACACAGCCAACATTCACACTCAGACCAAAGGAAGACTGCCATCTCTGCGAGCCTCCAATGAAAGGCTCTGTCACTCCCATGGATCCTTGACATGGCTGTGACAGTACCAAACAATGAACATCACTCAGGAATTCCTTTGCCCCCTACAAGATCCAGTGGCCTCTGCTGTACAGACAAAAATACCCATACATACAAAAATTAAGGGGGAAAAAATGGACACTTCAGGTTTTGATGGCAACTGAAGTTGTCATCCTTTCCTAACAAGCATGAAATGGAACAAAATGTGGAAAGCAGACAACTTCCCTATTCAAAAGGGAGAAGAGGATGTTCCACACACTAGCTACTGTCCAGCAGTCACACCCACAAGGGAGCTGAGGAGGAAATAGGAATGGTTAGGGTTTTTAGCTAAAAATGTCCCTTAAACTACTTAAAATTACCAGAGTAAACCATGAATGCCCATGCATGTGATCTCAATACTCAGGAGGCTAATGCAGTCAAACCTCCGTGAGTTCAAGTCTACAGAATAAGACCCTGTCTCACAAATGAATGGCTAAGAATGTAGCTCAGAGCCGGGCATTGGTGGTGCACGCCTTTAATCCCAGCACTTGGGAGGCAGAGACAGGCGGATCTTTGTGAGTTCGAGACCAGCCTGGTCTACAAGAGCTAGTTCCAGGACAGCCTCCAAAGCCACAGAGAAACCCTGTCTCGAAAAACAAAAAAAACAAACAAAAAAAAAGAATGTAGCTCAGTTGGTAGAATAATTGCCTAGAATGTATGTCTTGGGTTTCATCCCCAGCAATATGTAAAGCAGGCATGGAGCCACATACCTGTAATGCCATCACCCATGGCAAAATCAGAATCAGAAATTCAAATCCAAGGTCATCCTGGGCTATATACAGTTGAAGTCAGCCTGAAATACATCAGACACTACCTAAAAATTAAAAACAAATGTGCCTAAAAACTTAAATAAAAGGATCCAGGCTCTTTCTAACATGAGAGGTCTGTTTTGCAAGTATGATAAGCAAAATAACTTTAACTTTGCCTTACACAGCTGCATCTCGTGTCAGTGAAGCTTTTGTTATCCCATGAAGACTTGCCTCAGCTATGAACAATAAGAATATGGCATCAAGTGGGCATGTGGCCAGATCCTAATGCTGAGATACAAGGCCATGGATAAGTGAGGCCAAATGAACTAAGATCCATATTTTCACGCAAAAGTAGGAGCTCCAATGCATTCCACACTCTCAGCCAGCATGGGCTATGCATCTGTTATCCCAGCACGAGGAAGGCTGAGGCAAAGTAGTAAGTTTATTTGGGGTTTTGTGGCAGTGGTGGTGGTGGTTTTGGAACAAGGTCACATGTAACCCAGGCTAACTTCAAAACTGAGATCCTCCTGTGATGCTGTTAATATATTTCTCTTATTGGTTGATTGGCCATTAGCCAAGCAGGAAGTATAGGTAGGACTACCAGATGAGGAGAATTCTGGGGAGAGGATGCAGGCAGAAGCTGCCAGGGAGACGGGCGTGGAGCTACCAGAAAGATAGGATGCTGGGCATTTTCCGGTAAGCCAAGACCATGTGGAAATACATAAATTAATAGAAATGGGTTAATAATTAAGAGAGAGCTAGCCAATAAGAAGCCTGAACCATTGGCCAAACAGTTTATAATTAGTATAAGTCTCTGTATTTATTTGGGACTAAGCAGCTGCGGGACCAGGAGGGACAGAAACTCCAACTACACTCCTGCCTCAGCCTCCTGACCTGGCATTACAGGTGCTCACCACACCTCTTTTCTCAGTATTTCAAAGTGAGTTCTACTGGAATTTGGTGAAGGCAATTCTTCAGATGTACAGCAGATTTCAGTATGTCTGTCATCCCTTGTCTGAAAAAACCTTGCCTGTTCATCACCCCCAGAATCTATCCCCCCCCCAATATTGCACCTCTAGAGGGCAGTCAAGACTACCCAGTGAGACCTTATCTCAAAAAAAAAAAAAGTTCGTTTTGTTTCTCTGTATAGCCATGACTGTCATAGAACTCGACTTGTAGACCAGGTTGGCCTTGAATTCACAGAGATCTGTCTGCCTGTGCCTCCCAAGTGCTGGGATTAAAGGTGCGCACCACTATGCCTGGCCTCATTTTACCATTTTTAAACAGGGAAACTGAAAATATAATTTAGGCTTTTATTTACAGTTAGGGTCTCGTGTAGCCCTGGCTGGCCTGGCTACTACTCCCCTCTCCTTCTCTAGTACTGGGATTACAAGGGTTGTACCAGCAATTTAATTATGTTAGAAGAACAGAAGGAAAAGCTGAATACTAAACAGACAAATTAAGTAGGTGAGGTGATATACACTTGCCTAATGCCTGCAGCTAGTAGACAGAAGCAGAATTCAAGACTGACTCAAAAAGAAACAAGATGGAACTCATTACTTAGGATACTATGTATACTAAGCCACTGCTAATTTTAAAAGTCAGACACACAGCTAGCTTTCTATCATTGTTACAACATACATGGGAAATAGCAGGAGACATGGTTCAGCTGTTAAGAACCAGCCCAGCATGGTGGTGCACACCTTTAAATATCAGCACTCAGGAAGTAGAGGCAAACATCTCTGTGAATTCAAGGCCAGTCTGGTCTACAAAGCAAGTTCCAAAACAGCCAGAGCTGTTATACCCAGTCTCAAAAATAAATAAATAAATTGACTGCTCTTCCAAAGCCCCAGGTTTGAATCTGAGCACCCACTTGGCATCTAACCAGCTATGTGCAACTCCAGTTTCTGAGGATCAGACACCCTCTTCTGGCCTATGCAGGTACCAGGCATGCGCATGGTGCACAACATACATGCAAACAAAACACCCATACATATGAGAAAAACTAAAAGTACCAGAATATCAACTTAAAGGGAAATTAATTGGGGCTCAGCTTCAAACGATTTTGATGGTCAGACCTATTTGTGAGCTGTGGTGATTTGAATAAGATGCCCCTTCTAGTCCCTGACCCTTGAACACTTGGTTCCCAGTCGGTGGCTATTTGGAGAGGCTTTGGAGTGACCTTGCTGGAGGAAGTGTGTCTCAGAGGGCAGGTTTTGAGAATTTAAAGGCAGCACCATCTCAAGTCTGCCCTGCTTCTTCCTTGTTCTTTGAGATGTGAGCCCCAGCACCAGGTGTTCTGCCACCATGCCTGGTACTTGCTACCATTCTTCCCTTCTGATGGTGACAGAATGTTATCTCTCTGGAATACAAGCCCAGATAAACCCTTCTAGAAGTTGCCTTGGTAGTGATGTTTAGTAAAGAAGAAAAGTACAGGGGCCTGTGGTAGGAATGCACTTGGGGGGGGGGGTGTTTGTTTTTCAAGACGGCATTTTATTGTTGTTTTTCGAGACAGGATTTCTCTGTGTAGCTTTGCTGTCCTGGAACTCGCTCTCTGGACCAGGCTGGCATTGAACTCAGAGATAGACCTACCTGCCTGTGTCTCCTGAGTGCCAGGATCAAAGGTGTGCACCACCACCACCTGGCTCACTTTGTGCTTTTTAATTCACCCTGAGTGCCAGGATTTTAATGTGTAGTCTCCCACAGTCTGACATTTGTTCGTGTTCTTTGCCATCCTCACATCCTGTGGCAACCAGAGAGAAGCAGAGTGATCCTGTGTGCCTACTTCCTGATCAGACACTACTCAGAAACTGGAAATGGAGGCTGGCTTCCTGCAGATGTTGAGCTCCAGCCAAGTTGCTCTCCTCACTGAGCAGGAACCCGGTGCTCAAGCAGAAGCGAGCTCTCCTGATCAGTGCCCGTGGTGCCTCTCCCAGTTGGCTCCCGTGTCACAGCAAGAACCATTTCCACTTTCTCTTGGCTGCTGTCCTCCCAGCAGTACTGTTTCTTAAACATCAGAAACTCGCTGCAGACTGCTGCGAACAGAACAGACGGCACAGCTACCGTCTCTCGTGTTCAGCCCCACTAACATCCTGAGTGAGAGGGACATAGTTATGTGAACAGCCTATGGGTATGTATGCCCCTCACCTTTCCCCTCATAACAAAGACCACTTACTACTCCTAAATATATCCAGGTAATCTTCAGAACACCCCCCCTTTGAATCCACTTCAAAGGCTTCCTTTTCCTAAATCACTTAGAACTCATGTATTTGACCTTTATAGTCACATTGACAGATGCAACAATAGGTACACTGCTAAAGCCAAGCATGATAGGGGCTTTTGTCTTGTTATCCCATCACTTGAGAGACAAAGGCAGGAGGATTACAAGTTCAAAACTAGCCTGTCTCAGAATAAAGGTATGATGCTTAATCAGAACTGCACTGTCAGTGTCTCTGGCCAGATGCTGAGACCATGAGAGCACAGCTGGATATAATAGAGAATATATCACGTCACAGTATTTGAAAGTACAAGACCGCTGAGTTCCTGCCTACACTTTCAGCAAGTCTTTGTGCAGGAGTATCCGGGAAATAGGTGAATGGGGGATGAATTGGGGACATTGGTTCATTGGGTAGTTTTCATCCCTGAAATAGTCACAGCAGACTTGTTTAATTAATATCATTTACACTGGCCTCTTCTGGGATTGCTGCTCATAGGTGGTACTACAGTCATCATAGCCCATGTATGTCTTCTTTGCACTTTGTAAAACAAAAAATAGCAAGCATGAAGTGTTTTGTCTGCACCAGAAGAGGGCACTCATCCCGTATAGTGGAATTAGTTGGAGGCTTCCATATAGGTACTGAAAACTGAACTCAGGTCCTCTGGAAGAACAGTGAATGCTCTTAACCAATGAGTCATCTCTCTGGTTCCCTCTCTGCTCTCCTTACACTTTATACATAATCTTAGGAGAATGGCACAATGAGTCATGCATTTTTAAGTACTTTACACATATTCAGACTACTTATAAGCCTGTGTAAATCTTTACTTCCATTTGTAAAGAAGCATGGGTGGGCCAGGTGGTGGTGGCAGACTAGCAAGTTTATTTGGAGCTTGGTGGTGGTGGTGGTTGTTTTGGAACAATGTCACAAATAACCATTTTTGAGGCTAGCCTGGTCTACATAGTGAGTTCCAGGACAGCCAAGGCTACAAACCGTCTTGAAAAACCAAGACGAAGCTGGGCGGTGGTGGTGCTCACCTTTAATCCCAGCACTAGGGAAGAGGTGGATCTCTGAGTTCGAGACCAGCCTGGTCTACAAGAGCTAGGACAAACTCCAAAGCCACAGAGAAACTGTCTCAAAAAAAAACAAAATGAAAGATACATGGGCTTGGGGGGTAGGAGGCCCTAGAGAAATGGCTCAGCGGTTATGAATACTTGCTACTCTTGCAGAAGACTCAGTTTCAATTCCCAGTACCCACATGTGGCACATGGCCGTTTAACTACACTTTCCAATGATGGCTTCTGAGAGCACGGGCATATTGGTCGTGCACAAATGTACATGCAGGCAAAACTTCTATATATACAGTAATAAAGTTAAGTTTTAAAAGAGAAACAGGGGAAAAGGAATTTGCCAGGATCGCTCAGCAAAATCATGGAGCTCAGTATCCATTAAGGGTATTTTTAACACACATGAATGTCACATGTATGATATAGCACCAGTGCAGGACAGAAGTAGCAGACCCCTTGATGTTGGAGTTCTGAATGTTGAGTTACCCAACTAAGATGCTGAGAACCAAAGATGGTGTTCTGGAAGAGTAGCAGGTATTCTACAGCTGAGCCTGGTCTCCATCTCCATCTTTATGGTGGCACATGTTTAATCCTAAAACTAGGGAGGTAAAGGCAGGCAGAGTACAAACCAAGTATGTTTTGCCTGTGGATGCACCACGTGTCTGGGAGTTCCTAAGAGAATGTCAAATTCCTCTTTGTGGTGATATATTATTTATGATTTATTAAAGCTTGCCTGGAGGTTCAGAAAGCAAAGCTAGCCACAAGCCGTAGAGGTCAGGCAGTGGTGATACACACCTTTACTCCCAGCAGCCATACTAGCAAGCCTTAGAGCCAGGCAAAGGTGACACACACCCTTAATCCCAGGACTCAGCAAACAGGCAGATGGATCTGAGTGCAAGGCCACCTTGGCCTACACAAAAGTTAAGAGTAACAGCGCTCACACCTTTGATCCCAGCACTAGGTAAGTGGAGCCAGGCGTGACACAGCTGGGCTGAGGAATATAAGGCAGGAGACAGGAACTCCCTTTTGCCTATGCAGATTTGTGGAGAGATTGCCATTTCAGGTTGGTAAAGTGAACTGAAGAAAGTGTTAAACTAGTTATAAGCTACCACATGGGCACTAGGGGCTGAACCTGGTTCCCCTGTAAGAGCAAGTGATCTTTAACTGCTGAGCCATCTCTCCAGTACCCTTCCCTTTCTTAATGTTTGTCTATGGTCTATGCGTGTGAATGCACATATCTAAAGGTCAGAGGTTGATGCCAAATATCCTCCATCATTTTCCACTTTGTGTGTGCATGTGCACCACAGTGCACCTGTGGCATTCTGGGTACAATTCACTGCATACAGTTCTTGCCATTGTGAGTCTAACTTAGGTTGGTCCTGCTTGGTGGCAGGGGCCTTTAGAAATTCTGCTACTACAGCTTAATTTTCTTCCCAGTGTTTCAACTGCCATCTCATACAAATCCACCCTGGGTGTACAGATCCCTCCCAGTTTTCAGCAAAGTAGCCCAAAATCTAAAGTGTCCCAGTGCGACCTCAGATAACTTTACAAATTGCTTGTGTTTTCTTTCCTGGCTTGCTGGATAGCTTCCTTATTGCTAGAGTTTGCCAAGTACCACGGACAGAGCACAGGGAAGCTGAGATCCTGATCAAATCAGATACACAAGAAATGGGAAACACAAAAATTCAAATACCACTAGAGAGCCAGGAGCAGGTCCGATTGGTACTGAGCCCTGCAGCCTCCTAACTGTTTGGGTTACAGGCATGCACCACCTTGCATCTGTGTTTATGAGTCGTTTACTTAGAATTAAAGTAACCTCAGAAGCAGAACAATATTATTTAGCTTGTTTGTTGGATTTTGCTGTTTTTTGAGACAGGGTTTCTCTGTGTAACAACCTTGGCTGTCCTGGACACTCTGTAGACCAAGCTGGACTCACAGAGATTCACCTGCCTCTGCCTTCCTACTGTTGGGACTGAGGGTGTTAGCCACCACAGGCCAGTCATCACACCTTTTCTTAAAGGCTACTAGAAAGGGACATGTACACTTTAGGCTATTAAATTGTGTAGGAAGAAACTACTGAGTACAACTGAATTGTTCAGTCTCTCCCCAACCTCCTCCCTTGAAGCTACCCACTAACTGCCATCCTTGGTGAAGGAGAAAATGAAATGAACTAATATTATGAAGATAATATTATGCTTCCTTAGAAAATATTAAGTTACACAGAAGTAGCTAGCATTCAGCTGAAGCAGCACTGCTTCTGAGGCAATTCAAAGGAGGTGACCTGCCGCTTGCTTGCAAGTGCCCGTCAGGCTCCGTTAAGAGAATGACTCTGCCAGGCAGTTTAGGATACTAAGCTGACTGACAGTCACTGGCTAAGCCCTGTGTGTCTAATCAGCAGATACTTCTGCCCCACAGGCAGGATGACCCTAGGCTACACAGAAAAAACAGCCCTGGTCTGTCTCCAGATTCACTGTCACAATACATATGTGCTGTAAATTCCTCCATTTAACAAAAAACAACCAAACTCCCAGTTTCTGACTCTGTACATATTTAATTGCTCAAAGTGTCTGGGACCTAAGAGATCTACAGATGAAAAGCAAATGTGGAACTGCAATGTTATATATAGCTCAAACAAACTAATCTGTTCAGGGTTGGGAGCCACTCCTTACGAGTGTCTTCCTCCCTGTGAAGGCATAATACCTAATACTAAAACCTCAACGTCACTCCCAACTCCAAAACCACCAGAACCCTACTTGCTATCCACTATCTACTATCACTACCACTTTCACAGCCAACCTTAGACATTTTAAATACACTGTACTGCAGAGCCCTTGTCTATACAATGTACAAGATCTGGGTTTGATCCTCAGTACCGAAAAACAAAGAAAACCAAAGTATCACTTACCTGTAGTTACAGGGGAAAAAATGATCTTGGCTTCTTTGATACACCAATAATAAACAAAGGCCAGTGCTTTTTTAGAACTTTATTTCAATGTGACTATATGCATAAGAAATACACTCATATTGGTTAATAGAATGCAATTATGTTTAACTTATCCTACACAATCTTGACCAGAAACTTGGTACATGGTTTACAAGAAAAAAAAAAAAAAAAAAAGAAAAAACAACAGAAAAACAGAAACTGCAATCTGGTTTATTTCTATCTATTACAAATGTATAAAAGATCCTCCATCAAGTGCTGCTGAAGGCAGCAGAACCTTGAGAAATATACCTTTGGTTTGCCTCAGAAAAGTAACACATATTGCACTGTAAAGGTTTATAAAATTGGCGCAAAACATTGTTGTAATGTTACAATAGCAGTTTTAAGAGTTCAGTAACTAATGGGGAGCCTATGGGATAAATGTAGAACTGTAAAAGCTATCTCACTTAGCCAGCCGTACATGTAGACTGTAAATCTACACATTCAGATCATTTCTGAACTAAGACTATCAGCTCACTTCATCTGTTGAGGTCAACCAGGAAACCCTAGAATACACCTTGATTTTTGCAAAAAAACAAAAAAGGGAGTTTCTTCAACATTTCAGTCCACAAGTAACAGTATGCAAACAGGCAAAGTGTTCTTTCTGTTGTCAACATTCATAAAGTGAACTGCTTGAGGTCAACTTGGGTTTTAATTTGCACTAGCACTTACATGTAAAGTAGTCCAAGCTGATTGGCCTCAGGACTCTAAAGTAACTCTAAAGTAAAATGGCCCTCCTTGGAAGACTACTGGAAGACACTGGGCCACAGCTGTAGAAAGTCTCATGAAAACAATGTACCCTTTTATGAATTACGCCTCAATTTAAAAAAAGTAGCCCCAAATAAGAAGCAGCTCTGAAAAAGAAAATATAACTTAAGATATCTTGAAAAAAAAGTGAATACAGGTTCAAAAGAGATACATTTTCCTAAGGCTACCTAGGATTAGGCTTTAAAGTCTACCATTTCAAGTTTACCACTAGTTACTAGTTATCAATTTACAAATAAGATGTTCACTTTTTTTGTTCCTTTATCAAGAGAAAAATCTCCCTCAGACTCTGAGGGTGGTGATGGGGAGGGAGAGACTAGAAAACAAGATTCAAACAATCCCATGCAAATATCACAGTTTTCAAAATGGAAGAACTCCAAACTGTACTAGAAGTTCCTATCACTAAGATACTTTCCATTGAAACAATATACATGGCACCAAGGTTCAGGCCTAATATAGGCCTGACAACCAAATCCTTGTTTTCTGGAAGAAAGGCCTCAAAGATCGCTTTAATGAGGTTTTAATTTTCTTTCTTTATTTTTTTTACTTCTAATCTTAAAGACTAGATCAAATCACTGTTCAATTCCCAGAAGGCATTGTTTTCCTCTGCTATGAGAGCCTCCAACCTGTGCTTGCGATGGTCTTTCTCAACATCTTGAAAAGGTAATGTAGGTAAATGTGCTCATGAATAATAGAACTCGTTGTTAGAAAGACTTCACTAGCTTTATAATTTAAGTTTCAAACATAAATATTGCAGCTTGATCTGCACTGACAATGATTGTCGGAGCCTAGAATTCAACATTTATAAACTCTCATTCACACACACAGAACACACTATTATCACACAACTTGTGTCTTGAGAGAATCTTCCACTTTTTAAAATCTTTGGCCTCCCAGTCAATTCCACGTTCAACCAACTTTAACTAAAACTTCACTCAGAATCTCACCATGCTTTTCACCCACACATTAATGCTTGTCGCTATCTTTCATCAACTGTCAAAATCTGAAGCCTGCTCAGAGATCGCCAGGTAAAAGAAAATAAATGAAATACAGGTTATTTCAAAACAGAACATGACCATCACAATGTTACAATTCCCGGTTGGGACCATACTTTGTTTACTACTACCAGTAAAAAAAAATCCCATGTTGGACTATGTCACACTCTGGCATTGGCCAAAGAACACAGAGAACACGTTGTGGAGCATGCGGTTTCTCATACCAGTGTCCCCAGAAGGACACCAGGAGAGCTACAATTCACCTGTGGCCTCTCCTCTACAGAGGCTGTCTCACAGGGGCACTGAGGACACCCGCTATTTTGTGGAGATCCCTGAGAAAGTATGACTCTTCAAATCTGGACTGTACTTAATTAACATCAGCCCTGTTCAGGTACTCACTGGAAGGAAGATGCAGCTGTTTACCAGAACTCAGCACTCCATTCTAGATCAGCCACGAGGTCATGATGGCTTTCTCACAAGTGATATTCTAGGAAGGATAATTATGCTTGGCTCCAGGTTTGCTGTCTCCAAGGATCACTTGGAATTCTTTGTTCAGTTAAGTAGCCAACCCAACGTCAACATCTATTGAAAAAATAAACTCTGAAGAATGATTTACTACTCTGTAAGAAATAAGCTAGAAACAGCAAAATAGAAAATTCTAATGGCTGATATTTTTGAGATTAAATTTTGTTCAATGTGGGATTCTAATGGCTTACTGCACAAATCAGACTGGAGAGCTGTGGAATTACACATATGCTCACCATTCAAAATAACTTATATGAAACTGAGTCTGGCATAGATAAAGGTGAAAATTAAAATAAAAAGAACAAAACAATGGATTGAACCTGCATGTTCCATTGCTCATAAACTTGCACACTAATGTGCTGCAAAGAAAGACAATTGCAGCAAAGGAAAATGGTGCTTTTGCAAATAAGCCTAAAAGCACCCTCCCAAAAGAAAAAAAAAAAACACATGCATATGTATAAAGTGTTACTATTAAACACAATGCTATTTCTAGGAGGGAAGATTAACTGCATAGGTTAAAAAAACAAAATCAAAAACCATGTGCAACATCTTAAGCCAGTAAAGCACCAAAATAAAACACCAAAAAAAATCACTTTTTATAATGATTAACATACAAACACAAAATATTGACCATATGTCAAGAAGCATTTGGACAAATACAATGTCCACTGTTGAAAGAGTTTTTCTTCAATTTAAACGTCTTTTCTCAACTCTAAAGAAACTTTAAAGTGCTAACTTTACTTATATAAAGCAGGCAAATTCTTCAAGTAATTTGCTACGCCAATTTTTATCAGTCTAAACTAGGAACTGAAAGTAGAAACAAGTGAAAAGGAGGAAAAAAACTGGTAAGGTTGTAGGTAGACAACACAAGAGAGCGTGTTCTACCATCTTGTCTTTCTCTTTTCACCTGATTGCAAAATCTTCTTAACATCAACTCCCTAGGATCTGTTCAGATTCATGCAAGAGTCACTAGATAAGCATAGTCCTAAGAAAAAGAATGTCATTTACAAATCAGCACTTGACACTAAAGCAAGCTTGTGTTTCTAACAAACTAAAAGTAGAGGATGTTTAGAAACTACGAAATGCACTTCCATGGAACTAACTACTCCTGCCCCTCTGCTGCTTTTTCAAGGAAGTACACATTAACCAAATGTCTATTGAGGTGTTTGCTGTAATCTTTTTCCTTTCTAAAAGAGCGATCACAGAAAATACAAACAAAATCCCCCTCGGTTACTTTAACTGTCAACCCTTCCTTTCCATTTTTTGAACTAGCTTCTTGTGACACCGGCCGGGCCCCATGCAGCCCAGAATCATCACTACCCTCTGACATATTATCACTCAGGTCACTTCCATCATGGCTATGGATGCCTTCATCTTCATCAATTTCCTGAGATTCGTTTTCAGCCAAAGTAACAGTTGGCGACACTGCTTCACGTTCAACTGATGGGATAAGAGGCAGTGGTGACACCGATTCAACTGTTGCATCTTTCACAGGAACACTGTTTGCTGTGTTCTGCTCGGGGTTCACTTCCATTTCACAAACCCCAGCTGAACCAGTCTGACACTTAGCATGTAATATCTCACCATCTGGCACACTTGAGTTCTGTTCCAAGGGTAAGACATTGGCAGATTCCTTGGGAGCAGCAAGCTCAGCTAGACTCTCACCGGCTTCCTCTGCTCCTACTTTCTTGAGAGGGGCTATTTTATTTCCTACCGCATCAGAGACAATCTTTTGGTCCATGGGCGTCTCGCCTTTCCTCGAGTTTCCCTTTGGCGATGGTGAGGACAGGGCTGGAAGACCCTGTGCACTCTTGCTTTCTTTTAGAAGCTGGCTGTCTCTAACAGGCACTAAGCCAACTTCAAGAAGGACTTGCTCCTGCCGCACCATCTCACTCCGCGTGTTCAACCTCTCCTTTGAACTTCTCCTATCTTTCCGGGGAGATGACCTTTTGGTAATTGGCTTGACTTGAAGAGGTGGCTCCATGACAGGAGGAGGCTCTTTCTGAACACATTCCGTGCGAAGAGGCTCTGTCTGAACAACCTCCATCTGAGCATGGTCCAAAGGAGAAGGCAGCTCTTTCTGACAATGTCCCACCTGAGCAGGCTCCATGGGAGGAGGCGGCTCCACCTGGGGAGGCTCCACCTGAGGAGGTTCCATGGGATGAGGTGGCTCTACCAGAGGAGGCTCTATGGGAGGAGGTGGCTCCACCTGAGGAGGTTCCATGGGAGGAGGCGGCTCTACCAGAGGAGGCTCTATGGGAGGGGGAGGCTCCACCTGGGGAGGCTCTACCTGGGGAGGCTCCCTGTGAAGAGGCTGAAGAGGCAACTCCCTCTGAGCAGGCTCCATGGGAGGAGGCGGCTCCACTTGAGGAGGCTCCATAGGAAGAGGCAGCTCCACCTGGGGAAGCTGAAGCTGAGTGTGAAGAGGCGACTCCCTCTGAGCAGGCTCCATGGAAGGAGGCGGCTCCCTCAGAGGACCCCCTGTCTGGGAAACCTCTATCTGACCAGACCCTGTCTGAGCAATATCCATGGGAGAAGGAAGTCCTGTCTTAGCAGAGCCTGCCAGAGCGCCCACCACCTGAGTGAGCGCAGGAACTGGAGAGTCCTCCCCATGCACCAGATCTGTAGAAGGCTCTGTCTCCTGAGCTGGTCTGCTGCCCTTCTTATTTGATTTACTTCTTGGAGTTTTCTTCTTTGCACCTTTTTTAGTGGAAGTGTTTTGCTTTTTAGTGTCCCCCTTATTCTCCTCCATCCTGCTGTCACCCTTTGGCACCTCGGTACTGTTTTTGGATTTGCTTTCTACCTTTTTTTTTTTTGTCACTGGTTCCTCATTCATGGGATCACCTGAGGAATGGGCTTCAGAATCCATCTTTCTTTTGTTTTTCTTGACTTTACCGAATTTTTCCGGATTATTTCCTGTATGGACAGCTATGTGTTTCATCTCTGCTGCTTTAGTCTCTGTCGCTGATTTCCGAGTTCTGGTAGTTACCTGGACCACTGAGACGCTGCCAGATTTCCTCTCTTTTGAAACATCTTTTTTCTCTACTTTTAGGGATTTCTCATTTTTCTTTCCAGACATATCCCCCTTTGTTTTCGCTTGCTCTGTCTCTGTTTTTTCACTGGTGGCATTACTATGCACGTCAGCCTCCCTCTTTTTGGTTTTCTTTAGTTTCACTTTTGAGACATCCATCGTTTTATTAGGGCAGGTAGGATGCTTGGATTTGAAATGATACTGTAGATTGCACTTCTTGGAAGCTGCATAGTCACACACGGGGCAGTTGAACTGCCTTGGGTTAACATGCAGCTCAACGTGCTTCTTGAAGTTGCTTCTATCCGCTGTCTTGTAGTCACAGTGAGGGCAGTTAAGAGGTTTAGGCCCGTTGTGAACCTGTCTCGCATGTCGGGTCACTTCGTGCTGATTTGAAGCCACATAACTGCACTGATCACATTTAAATGGCTTCTCACCTAAAGGTAGAAAAGAGATGTTACTAGAGATAAAGACACAAATCCAACACTGAAATATCTTTAGGAGTTGTACATGTAAAACAAGCATAAAGACCATTTATTGGAAAGAGTTGGTCATGCAACTTCTATTTTCCATATTTATTTGTATAGCTTTTCTCTATCTGGGATGGAGGCTTTATTCTCAACATAAACCGGAGGAAGTTTATGAAGTTATCTCTTCCACCCGGGATGCCAGCTCTGGGTCAAAGCCACTCCAAGAGAAAAATGTTTTTAATTTTCTGCTCCTCACCCTCCAGAATTCTTTTAAGCTAAAATATAATGCAACACAATATAAAAATACATTTGTAAGGCAAACCTGGAGTGGAATCTTTAATTTTGGGCTACATGAAGCTGGAGAGATGGCTCAGAGGTTAAGAGCACTGACTGCTCTTCCAGAGGTCCTGAGTTCAATTCCCAGCAACCACATGGTGGCTCACAACCATCTACAATTCAATCTGGTGCACTCTTCTGGCATGTAAGCAGAACACTGTATATGTAATAAATAAATAAATCTAAAAATAAAACCTTTGGGCTACAATCCCAAACTTTGTGCCTAAATTTTAAGGTTCTGTTTTGGCCTAAGGGAGTAAATTTAACCCTTTACTCACCACAAGATGAGTAAAGCCACATTCAGCAAGTTTTTCTAATACCAGAGTAACTGTTTTAAAGCATAAATAAGGCTGAAGTCAACTAGAAAACCTAGTGATTTTTTTTTCTATCTCAACTTCTCTATAAAAGGGGCAAAGAAACTAACTAAATGAGGGCTGGCATACAAATAGATACGGTATATAAACAACACAGTCATATCACACAGCCCACCCACCCCAAAATTAAAAGCAAAAAACATTCTACCTTAATACATACCCAACTAGATCACACTCTAGTAAATATTACCAATTGGTATCCATACCCCACCGGTCCAATGGAATGCATAGTAGAGAAATGGAAATTGACATTTATGAAAATTAATCTTTCAAACATCCAAGTTTTCCACAAGCAAAATTAAGACATGAAGCTTAACTATGACAATAGTAAAGATTACATCATTAGAAATGTCTGCTAACAGAATCCTAAATCTTCCCAAAAACCTACCCAGGAATATCAAATTAGGGATGTAGGTAAATGGCAACTCTTTCTACGTTAAAATTCAAGATTTCAGCCAGGCATGGTAGTTTAATTGTTATTAAACAATTACTGTGATTTTAAGAATTGGTACTGCAGTTTCAGGACTACTAAGAAATGCTGTCCTAAACAACAACAAAAAATTGGTGCTGTAACCCTGATCACAAACAGTATGGGGTGGTCACAGGCCCTAGGTGTGAACTTACTACATGTGTTTTACAAGCGGCATGTCATCAAATTGCTTTCTATATCCACGTTTTTTGTTTGTTGGTTTGTTTTGTTTTGTTTTTCGAGACGGGGTTTCTCTGCGTCTTTGGAGGCTGTCCTGGAACTAGCCCTTGTAGATCAGGCTGGTCTCGAACTCAGAAGTCCACCTGCCTCTGCCTCTCGAGTGCTGAGATTAAAGACGTGCTGTGCCATCAACGCCCGGCTTCTATATCCAGAGTTAAAGAAGATTCTTTCTGCTACCAAAGGAGGTTAGTTCAGAGACTTGTGACCTAAGTAAGGCGTCTAAGTTACACTATCCAAAGCTCAGGGAAGACCACAGAAGAGGGGAAAGACAGAATCTAAGAGCCAGAGGGGTGGAGGCTGTACAGCAGAAACATCTGGGCCCAGAAAGACAACTGCATTTATAAACTCATTGTAGCCGTGGCTACCTGCACATCTTAGATGGAACTCATCAACATCCCAGATGGATGCAGGAGAGGCACAGAAGGCTCCACTCTTTCCTGAGTAGTTAATGGGTAGCTAGGGATGTCAAGTCATATCCCCCAGTAGTACAGCCCAGCTAAGTTGCCCTTATTCAAGCAATAACTTCCTAGCCATGCTTACTAAAGCAATCCTAATTAAACTCAATGGCTCAAGTGTGAGGAGCCGCCCTCGCTATCGCTATTGCCGTTAGAAGATGGCGCTGACATCCGCTGTCAGTTGGAGTTAACTGTCGCTGTCAGTTAGAGTTAACTGTCGCTGTCAGTTGGAGTTAACTGTCGCTGTCAGTTAGAGTTAACTGTCGCTGTCAGTTGGAGTTAACCGTTTAAACTGTGCCTCTCCCGTGACGTCATCTGGGGTGATGTGCAAACCACCAATCCCGGCTCTACACATCTCACTCGGAGCTCCTAGGCTTATATAAGGGGCTGGGTTTCTTAGCTTGGGGTCTCCCTCTAAGAAGCTGATCATCTATCTCTCAAGATGCATTAAAGCTTTACTGCAGAAGGATCCGAGTGTTCTGCGTCGTTCTTGCTGGCGAGACGGTAGCGCGGGACATCTGGTGCCGAAACCCGGGAACTCTTCAACATCGCCGGCGCCGCGGGAGACCCCTCGGAAAACGGGGCGGATTCAGAACTGCAGGGACGTAGGTTCAGAGAGGTATGCTTTATCCTGAACAACCCTTTTCTCGACTTTGGCCTTAGTTTGTCATCACCGTGGGACGGGTCAGTGGAGGCTTTGGTGCTAGTCCTGTTTGTCCTTCTCCTTCATCGTGGCTGGTGCTGACAGAACGGCGCTGTCCGTCTGGCGCTGTCCGTCTGGCGCTGTCCATCTGGCGCTGTCCATCTGGCGCTGTCCATCTGGCGCTGTCAGTCTGGTGCTGTCAGTCTGGTGCTGTCAGTCTGGTGCTGTCAGTCTGGTAACGGAGTTGAGCGCGTTTTTAGATAAGCTGTCAGCGCGATGGGGTCGTCACAGTCAGTGGTTACAGCCTTACAGACTGTGCTAAAACAAAGAGATCTTAAAATTGCACCACGAACACTTCAAAATTTTGTGAAGGAGGTAGATAGAGTGGCACCATGGTATGCTTGTTCCGGGTCCCTCACTGTGGCCTCATGGAACAAGCTAGGTAAAGAACTAGACAGGAAGCATGCAGAAGGAGATCTCTGCTTAGGTACCAAAGCCATTTGGAAGCTAGTTAAAAACTGCTTGGAGGATGAGGCCTGTCACCCTGCTATAATAGAAAGTCAGGGAACCTTAGAGGAAGTTCAGGATAGCATGTCAGAAACTGAACGGAGTGAGAGAATGGGAGCTCGCAAAAGAAAAGACATGTCTAAGAAAAAAGGCCCTCCCAGGAAGTTAAGAAAGGGGAGAGAAAGAAGGGAGTTATCATTCACCCCTTAACAAATCTAAGAAAAAGAAAAAGCCAGAATCTAGTCTATACCCTGCAGTAGAGCTAGAAGCCTTGGAGCTAGATAATTCTGATTCTGACACTCTGGATTCTAGCGAAGAAGGTGGTCTAGAGGAGGAGGTGGCACGGTATGAGGAAAAAAGATATCACCCTGATAGACACCGGCCACTGAAAACAAAAATGAATGTGAGGCCACCGCCTATAAATCCGGCGGGCTCACGCCCCTCAGCGCCTCCGCCATATGAGCTTCGGCTGAATACTGGTACTGACTCCTTTTTACCTTTAGAGGAACGGAGAAAAATACAAATGGCTTTTCCAGTATTCGAGAATGTGGAAGGCGGAAGAGTACATACCCCCGTAGATTACAATCAAATTAAAGAATTGGCCGAATCCGTTCGTAATTATGGGGTCAATGCTAACTTTACCACATTACAGGTGGAAAGGCTTGCTAATTTTGCCATGACTCCCACTGACTGGCAAACGACAGTGAAAGCAGTGCTTCCCAACATGGGACAATACATGGAATGGAAGGCTCTCTGGTATGATGCAGCCCAGGCACAAGCTAGAGTTAATGCCACGGCTGAAGATGAGAATCAGAGGCAGTGGACATTTGAAATGCTGACAGGTCAGGGTCAACATGCCCTTAATCAAACCAACTACATCTGGGGCGTCTATGGTCAGGTGTCGGCCGCCGCTATTAAAGCATGGAAGGCCCTCACAAAAGGGGAGAGTCCAGTGGACACCTTACAAAGATTGTCCAAGGACCCCAAGAGCCATTTTCAGACTTTGTGGCCAGAATGACAGAGGCCGCCAGTCGCATCTTTGGTGATTCAGAACAAGCTATGCCCCTGATTGAGCAACTTGTCTATGAACAAGCAACCCAGGAATGTCGAGCGGCTATCGCCCCTCGCAAAAGCAAAGGTTTACAAGATTGGCTCAGAGTGTGCAGGGAGCTGGGGGACCCCTAACCAATGCAGGACTAGCTGCCGCCATTTTACAAACGCACAGGTATAGAGATTTATCTAATCGAAAAGCTTGTTTTAATTGTGGGAGAATGGGGCACCTTAAGAAAGATTGTCAAGCCCCTGAAAGAACAAGAGAATCGAAGCTTTGCTATCGTTGTGGTAAAGGTTATCATAGGGCTAGCGAATGCAGGTCAGTCCGGGATGTAAAAGGAGGCTTCTGCCCCCTATTGAAGAATCCAAGGTACCCCAATCAAAAAACGGGTCACGGGGCCCATGGTCCCAGGGCCCTCAGAAATATGGGAACCAATTTCAGAAAAGCAATCAAGAGGAAGTAGAGGTTTCCGAGGAACCTCCGGAATGGACTTGCGTGCCGCCTCCGACTTCTTACTCATGCCCCAAATGAATGTTCAACCGGTCCCAGTCCATTCCCCTGGACCTTTGCCCCCTGCCACCATTGGGCTTATTCTGGGCCGTGGCTCCTTAACTTTACAGGGACTCATTATATATCCTGGGATTGTTGACCCATATCATAAAGAGGAGATTCAAGTTCTCTGTTCTAGCCCTCGGGGTGTATTTTCTATAAAGCAGGGAGATAGAATTGCACAACTGGTGTTGCTGCCCTCCCTCGGGGATGGAGAAACCTACACTTTACAAAAAAGGGCTATGGGATCTTCTGGAAGTGATTCAGCCTATCTGGCTATACCCCTAAATGAGAGACCTACAATAAAATTGTTAATTAATGGAAAAGAATTTGAAGGGAT